CTTCTTCGCTAAGTTCTTTGAATTTTCTTTTGTTGAAGCTTGTATGTTGAAGCTTTCTGAGTGGAGCATGTAGGTTGGGGTAGTGTTCCCTTAATTTCCCGAGTGAGGAAAACTTCTCGGTTGGAGACTTGGAAAATCCAAGTCACTGAGTGGGATCGGCTATATGAATCTTAGAACGCCATTGTGCTCGATCCTGTGTCATGTCCTTCGTTAGATCCAAGTACTCTAAGTCTTTTCTTAGAGTCTCTTCCAAAGTTTTCCTAGGTCTTCCTCTACCCCTTCGGCCCTGAACCTCTGTCCCATAGTCGCATCTTCTAATCGGAGCGTCAGTAGGCCTTCTTTGCACATGTCCAAACCACCGTAACCGATTTTCTCTCATCTTTCCTTCAATTTCGGCTACTCCTACTTTACCCCGGATATCCTCATTCCTAATCTTATCCTTTCTCGTGTGCCCACACATCCTACGAAAAAATAAATTTTGAAGAACATGAATATGATAGTTTGTTGTAGTGGCATGACAACTAAAAAGAAACATTAACAAAAATGTGCAAAAAAGATTTAAATTCCGTGAAAAATCCATTATAATTCGTATTTCAACACTTGTAATCAACGACTTAAAACCTAAATTTAAAGATATTTGTACCCTTTTTTTGTTAATTTTTCTTTTATCTAAACTTAAACTACATATTAATAGAACATTTTTTGTTGGCCAAAAGAGGGTGAAAGACTATTTAACAAAACAAAATTTTGCTATTTTTGTTTAAGTCTCAACTACAGGTGATTTTAACATCCCTAATTTTAAAAATATACACTACATATACATTTTGACATCTCTATAGTTTTCAATTATTTTTTAGGAAAACTAATGAAAATTGCCTGAAACTTTGAGTTTTAATTAAAATGACAAAAAGGTGTTGTAAGTGAATAGTACCAGGAGTGACTTTTTAGAGTAGAAATGTCATTTTTGTTAGAAGTGAACCGTACCAGGAGCACTCCCTTTTTTTTTTTTTTTTTTACTTTTTAGCTTAAATATTCAACTAAATATATACTTGTTGCTCTTTAAATCATAAATCCTCTTCTGAATACCTTATAAAGATTCCCTTAATGCATACGAAGAATATTTCAAGAAAATAAAAAATTTGCATTTTTCACAAAAAAAAATGTGGATTAACACTCACGGTTTTCGGTCGGTTTTGCAAATTCATACATTAATCACCGTTCAATCAATTTTTTAACCTTTGCCCGACTATTGAGTTTTGAAAATTAAGAGAAGACTTTCCGTTGAGATTCTTGATTGTAGAGCCCCATTTGACAATGTTCTGGGCCTCACCACTATATTTTTCATTTATTTTTTTAGTTTTCGGCTTAAATATTCTACTAAGGGGTGTGATATCCACACACCATTTTTACTTCTCACACACCCTTTTAATTTTTGGCCGTCGGATCGGATGAATTGAAGAAGATCAACGGAACATAAATTAACAAAGGGTGTGTGAGAAGTAAAAAGGGGTGTGTGGATAGCACACCCCTTCTACTAAATCTACATTCGTTGCTCAAAAAACCGTAAAACTGCTTCCAAATTCCTTCAAAAGTTTAACTTAATGCTCAGGAAAAATATTTTGCGAAAATGAAAATTTTGTATTTTTGTCAAAAAAACATAGGTGTTCAGCAGGCTCGACACACGCAAAATGAGGCAGATATCGCTTACGCAGAACAAGGCCAACTATGGCAAACAAAACGATGTCAACTCCGCTCGCAGAAAACAGGGCGGGCTTTTGGCATGCAAAACAAGGAAGGATAGGTCACACAAATCGAGGCCAGCCTTGCGCATGGAAACGAGGCTGGCTCTATGCACTTCAAAATGACGCAGGCTCCGTGGAAGCAAAAATGGAAGGCTTTTGGCACGCAAAACGATATAGACACCTCACATGCAGAATAATACGAACCTAGGCACACAGGACGAGGCCAACTCAATGCATGTCGAAAGAGGCGAATTCCCGAATGCTCAGAAAACGAGTCGGGGCCCACGCACAGAAAAGTAAATTTTGAAGAACTTTGTTGATGCACAAAACCGGAGGGGTCTTGGAACAACGTAAATCCGACCGTGAATCTGCAAGAAAGTAACTTACACAAGATGTATCGTGGTTCACCCCAAGGTTTGGGTTACGTCCACACTGATATTGTATTTCTCTGAGAGTATTGTGAAGTAGAGGGAGCTCTGAATGAGAGTCAGAGCTTTGAGAGGATGAGGGGTTAGGCCTAAGAATTGGCCTCCTCTAATTGTGAGGGTGATGAGTCCTTTTATAGAATAAGGGCTCCTCACTTATTACATATTTGTCCCTTCATTTATTACATAATTACATTTAAGTCTCCCGAGTATTTGTACGAGATCTAAATACGGAGACCCTAAATATGGTACAAACAAACTTAAATATGGTAGTTTGTTGTAGTGGCAAGATAAATAAAAAGAAACATTAACAAAAACGTGCAAAAATGATTGAAATTCTTGAACGTGCCATATTTGCAAATTTTTGTTAATTTTCTTTTATTTCTCTTACCACTACAACAAACTATCATATTCATGTTCTTCAAAATTTATTTTTGCATGAAAAATCTATTATAATTTGTATTTCAACACTTGTAATCAACGACTTAAAGATATTTGTACCTTACATTTTTTTGTTTAAGCCTCAATTACAGGTGATTTTAACACCTTTAATTTAAAAAAATATACATTTAGGCATATCTATAGTTTTCACTTTTTTTTTTTTTTTTTTTTTTTTTTTTTGCTTTTCAGCTTAAATATTCAACTAAATATACACTTGTTGCTCTATAAATCGTAAATCCGCTTCCAAATACATTATAAAGATTTCCTTAAGATTTCCTTTTTTTGTTTTTTTTTTACTTTTCAGCCTAATTGCTAACGGAAAATATTTCGTGGAAATAAAAAATTTGCAATTTTCACAAAAAACGTGGGTTTACCCTCACGGATTTTTGTCGGTTTTGCAAATTCATACATAAGTCATTGTTCAATATATTTATTTTCACTTTTGCCTCGCCGTAAAATTTGGAAAAATTATGGTATGACTTTCCTTTGAAATAAAAAAAATTTCATGATTAAGAAAAAATTTATAAGGCAATTGAAAGAGGTTTTACCATTTATTGAGCCACAAATATATTAATACAATAATAAAATGAAAACTGAAAAATAAATGAAATAGTAGTGGGCTCAAAACGTTGCTGAAACGAGACTCATCCTCAAGATTATTAACGAAATATTTTAGATGAAATTTTAAGAGCTCGCGGTACGTTGAAAGGCAAAAGCACATAGACTTTATGAAAACAATATTTTGGGCTCTAACAAAATTTAAGAAACTTATGGTACAGCGAATATAGGATCTAACACTAACAAATTCTTTTCAAAAAAATGAGGACAACTAGTGGCAAGCCACAATTATCCATCCATTCCTATCTCGGAGAGGCTATGGAAAATTTCACCTTGCTCGTGGCCACAATAAAGCAGACTCACCAGCTCGAAATATCTTACAAATTAACAATGACAGAGTTCTAATGTTTTAAGTTCTTAATTATTGCCTATAGAAAAACAAACTATTCATATGATATATATGGCCCAACCATTCTTTCTTAGAACTCATAATGCATGTGATGTTTGTTCACTGGTTCACATCATTGCTGTTTCTGGTTTTTTTTTTTTATGCACTTCTCCTTGGTTGTTAAAAATGCAATTTCCTTTTCTGCTTTACTTTATTTCTTCCATTCCATGTGAAGTTGTTGTAAAGAAAGAAGCCATTTTTTCTTTCATTCCATGTGAACTGATTGAAGATGAATGATGATGTGTGTCTAGATCTAGGTTAATTCGTGGAGAAAATTTTAGTTGATGAGGAAGAGAGAGATATACAACTCGACGTATGTAAGTTGTTCTATATTTCTTAAATCGTTTTTCGAGATCATGTTTTTGACTCCCTCACCCATAATACCCTCTGTTTTGCATTATATTTATACGAAAATTCATGTAAAAATATAAGATTTTTAGGTATCACGTCATTTCATTCATTCTCTGGCATTAAATGGATATGACCCACAAAATGAAGAATTTCATTTGGACCACGGCCAAGTTAATACAATCCTTGGTTATTCTGAATAGTCCTTCCTCCTCCTAGACTCGAGGAGCAATGAAACTCACAAGCCACAAACTTGCAAGGATCAAAGCACTTGGTTTTGACAACCACCACGTGACGGCTCAATAGTTGGGGGTGAATTCCAGGTTCGTATTCCACATGGCACGTTTTGAGTTAGATTTTTGACGCTGATGAATTGTATGATAGTGGTCAGGGGAGGCTAAAATGCCTAATCTTTCCGGCCTCCAAAAGGATTGACTATTGTGGCAAAGCCACCATCTATTCCTTTTTTTTTTTTAAATAATACATTTGGTTTTGATTTTTTGGTAAGCCTCCTTGTCGAGGACTTTATGCAATTGGAATGTCATAATAATAAATTATCGGTAATATCTCAAACGAATCACATGTGATTATATATGATAAGTTTGTAATACGGTCATCTCGATATCCTAGTTGCCTCAGGAATCTTCAACACTCGACTATGCAAATGGCCTTAAGCATTATTGCAGAGGCCCTACAAAACCATGCCCAGTTCACCATTACAATCACGCAACTCCAGTGGAGTAGAACATGCCAAGCTTAGGTAGCTACAGCTCATCATAACCCTTCTCTTGTCACCACAAATTGCCAACAAATTTACTAGGTCCACTCTTTCTAATTATCTTTATTTCTTTCTTTTCTTTCAGATTTTTTGCTTTCAAAATGCGATGCTTTAAACTACAGGAAGGAAAATCTAATTCAAGTGCAAGAATCAAACACAGTATCCTAACCAAAGGACCTAGCTCACATATGTTTTTTTCTCCAAGTATAGAAAAGTTTCATACGAATTCCTGGATTAAATCCAATGATGAGACATTAATCTGAAATACCACAACAAAATAGAAGAATGAATTTTTTTAGTACAAATGAATCACTGATACAATCATAGAGAAAATACAAGGACATCAAATGTCAACCCATGATCCCTTTATTGGCCTAAAATTGAACCATCCTCACATTCTCACTAAAAATAATTATACATCATATAATACAAATCCACCAACAAAAAGATCAACCACACCCATACAATTCCATCAACAATAAATAATTAAATTAAAACCTGAAATTTAAAAATCATGCTTAGAAGAAGAAGCCAAAAGCCAAAGCTGCTAGAGAAGCAAAGAAAGTGGGGGCAAATGTGAAGGCATCAGATGTTGGGCTTGGAGCTGGAGCGTCAGCTGCAGCTACTTGTTGAATGCCTGAGAAGGCCACCATCATAACCACCAACAAAGCAACAAAAAGATTCATCTTCATTGCCTCCATTTCTTGATTTCTAAGTAAATAATTTGGACTTTAGAAAAATGAAAGGGAGAAAGAAAGAAAGAAACTTGATTGCTTATATTGCAGTAGAGGAAGTGTAAGGACAATGGTGTGGGTTGTAGGCTATATATACACCCTCAGAGAGAGGAGAGAGAAAGAGAGAGACTAGAGAGAGAGAGATATTCAATTTTTCAATTTTCAAAGGCTGCTGAACTGCCAAAATTCCCCAAAGTGAACGTTAGGGGGGTTGATGAAGTTGACACTTGACAGAGTGGCTTTGGCATTGTTGCCACACAACTGTCACTTTGCCTCAGGGTCCCCCTACATTTGCTGTCTTCTAAAGAATCTTAACTATTGTTTTGCCTTTTTTATATGTTTTTTTCACTTCCATTTTACTAATTAAATTCGTTAAAGCATGTTTAGTTGTTTACTTACTTGAATCAATAAAGTCATGAATCAATAAAGTTAAAAGTTGGAGAGAGAGAGAGAGAGCCAACTTGTATGGGATCAGCTCGCTTTCTTCTAATCAATCTAATTCTTAATTTTTTCTGGTAATGAACTTACTTCATGGAGATCACATACTTTTTTATTATATAAATATCAGCAAAGAAATGAATGAGAAGTTAGGAATTGGATTCAATATAACATAGTATAAGTTGTAACTTGATAAGCAAACAAATGAATGAGTCATGGTGGTTGAGTTTACCATTCATTAGGTGAATGTTTTGCTTTTCTTGTGGGGTTTATTATGAGATTTGGTAGGAAATGAGAGGTGATGATGAGCTGGTTGTATGATAATGTTATGTTTGTTTAACAACATGAGTACTACAGTGGATTATTATATGCACTTGTGCTGCCTTTATTTACATAACATACTATTATGGATATGTAGCTGTATCGTAAGTAATGTTAATTGTATTTTCACAATCTCCTTTTCTTCTTCTGCACTTTTTATTTTATTTTTTGTCCTTAATTCTTTTTCAATTTATTCAATCTAAAAGCTAGAAAGATAAAAAATAAAAAATAAAAAATAAAAACCCCTCAAAAAATGCATAGAAAGAAATTAAAAGGAGTGCGAAAATCAACTCCCTAAATTTTAGCTTAAAATCCAGATGAAAGGGAAACTGGAACTGCTTGTGGTCTCTGCAATGGACAATAGTAGTGGGAAAGCTGGCTTAGAAACTTTGAAATGAGATGGGTCACCTAACTTACCTGCTGGGTTGGCGTGTTGTCCATATCAGATTCATTCTGTATCTACACAGTTTTGAATGAGGGATGGTACCAATTAAAGTCTAACTGAACCAAATGTGAATCAAATCAAACATGGAAAATTGATCTAATTATTTAAGACTGAATATAGGAGGAAAATCTGCATTCCTAATTTTAACAAATCATTACATGTTATATTATAAAAACAATGTATTAATGTAAAATATGTAAATTAATTAAAGTCTGAGTCGGCAAATTTTGATCATATAATCACGAAAAATTCTCTTGTATATGTGAATGGGTCAAAAGAAATAGATATTGAGCTATGGTCATCATATTATCACGAGCACTAGTCTATTGCATCAGTGCTATCTAAGCTACAACTCTTTTGCATATGGCAAATGATATACAGCTACGCTTAATATTTGCTTTGAAACTGAAAGGAGATTTTTAGAATTAAACCAACTGGGCCAATCTATAATAAACGAATGAGAATAAAACAATTTTTGTTACTCTCTCTTATGCATCTACCTAGTCTTTCATTATCTATATCATGTCTAAGTAAAAAAAAAAAACTCAGTCTTTACTATGTTGAAGGAGAATATGAGTTTAAATTTCATAAATGATTATACACGAAGAAAAATATAGCAAAAGAAAATTTTCTTGAATTCGCAAATAATGAATGTGGCTGCTAGAGATTAAAAACATAAGGAGTTATGCAAATCTCAGGGACCATTTTATCTAAAAAGCCATATACTAATATGTGACTTGCCAAGAATGAAGAGTTGAAAAGACATGCAAAGTTGTAAAATAAAAACGTACATAAAATAGGATTTACAGTGATATTCTAAACCACTTTAACTTAAGAGAGGGTGGTTCAAACATAAGACTAGGAGGTACAAACCATCCAACCATTTCCAGTTGCCTATCCTTTTGAGTTTCTTGCATATCTGCCTGGTTTTCTTCTGTGGGTGACTAGTACTGTTTGACGACATCGGGATCAATTTGCACTTTCCTCTCTACCAAATTGCTTTAGCTTGCAAGGTAACCATTTATTAAAATATAGACTCAGATCTTCCATTTATACTCCAACGCCTCGCAAATCAATGCTATGCAGTTTTTCGCTTCCAATCGATAATTCGACACTGCACATCAGCAAGTTAAACAAGACACTTTTTTTGGTGATGCAAGTTAAACAAGACTACATGGAACAAAAAAAAAGTAAATACGATGTACTCTGGGGTACATCCTAATTTAAGTGTGAATTACCTGATATGAAATCATCTGCGTACTCCTCATTGATTTTTCCATGGGCCATTGCACCCACCTGATAGAGCATAAATAAGTAGTAGTCATGGTCATTTCAAAATTTTAAGATAAATAGAGCAGCAAGTAGTGCAGTCCTAAAATCATAAGCAATTCAGATTCTCAAACATACCACAAAAACAAGACCCTGATCATCAACACCGGCAGAATTAACGTACTTATCTATGTCAACCACCTTCTCTGCACTATAAGAGAGACCTGCAAATATCCCAATTACAATCAGTAACCTCAGAACTTAGGCTACATAGAGAGAGAGAGAGAGAGAGAGAGAGAGAGAGAGAGAGAGAGAGAGAGAGAGAGAGATCAAATACTCGCCTACCACACGAGAGTTGATAGGTAAACGTCGAGTTACAGGTTCCTCAATGACACGCATAAGTACTTCATTTGTATCTTCCGTCCGTATGCATTTCTCGTTTAGTAACTCCACTTCAGAAATTGAAGATTCAAAAGACAAATCAATCAATAAGTTCTTCATGATCGATCAAGAAGTATTTTAGAAAGACGTTAATGTAGGATGATCGAATATGTCAGAAATGGAATATAGAACAATTGTTAACTTACACATAACTCCACAAAAGCGTTTACAGGTTCTTGGTATACGAACGTGCGATTTAATTTCAAATAACACTCCTTCATCAGTTTTCAATTACACAGCTCGTACCATACCAGCTTTATTCAGTTTGCTATCCAATATCTCACGGAGAGCCTGCAGAATAATATGTTACATTCATGGAGAGCCATAAACTATAATATAAGAATAGAGAATTGTTATTAGTGCACTCTAAAATGGTCTTTCTCCCTCCTTTAAATTTTGGATAGTGCTATTTACACATCCATTTTTACTTCCAACACAAACTTGTTAATTTTGTCATTGATCTTTTTCAATTCGTTCGACCTGACAACCGAAAATTAAGAAAGAGTGTAAGAAGTAAAAATTAATATGTGGATATCACTAGGTAAATTTTTTTCACTAATGAAGACTGTAGTTGCCGATAACAGTTCCCTAAGAATATAAGCATGAATTAATACAGACATCTTAGCAACACTACATGATCATCCATTGCTAAAATTAATATTTAAAAAAAAATGCTAAAACTAATATTTCCCACAAGAGAATAAAAAAAATAAAAAAATAAAAAATAAACCGTAAAAATTTTGGTTGCATTCGGTAGCAAGCTGTATGTTAATCACAATCCAATACCCAAATTTATTGTTAAAGTTATAACTTAGAATTGGGATTAAACTTTCCACTCAAAAACTTTGAAAATAATTCATGTTAATATATTGTTCGAGCTAGGTTGAAACTAGGAGCTTTGATTTCTAAAAATATAATTAATTTCTTATATATAAACACCAACAAATCACAAACCTGGTAAACTATTGCAGGCCTAAAATCATCCAGATTCTTGTTCTGCTTGAGAAGAAAATCACGGTCGTCATCCGAATCCAGAATCTTCCACCTCTGAAACATAAGAAACGTTAAGCTGTATGCATATCAAATGAAGATTTCTTTTTTCTTTTTTGGAAGTGTATGTACCTTATGGACGAAACCCTTTGTGAGAGAAGCGTCTCGCAGAATGAATATTATTGGGCGGGACTTCATCGTATTCGGCTGATGATCGTGAACTTGTTTTTTGTTGTTGTTCAGTAAGTTCAACTCCATTGTACTTGTAGAATTGTCTTCCCTCTTCCGCTTTGCCATGCCCTACTTACGCTTTTGTACTTTGTAGACAAGTGTGGCAGTATTTAGAGAACTTTGCAATATAGTGATGGGGGCTTCTTAGATAAATGAAAACCCTAAATCTGAAAGAAATTACCAACAAATTACCTCCTTGCCGTCTCCCTTCTCCCTTCTCCCTTCCCCCTAAACTCCTTTTCTTATTGTTTTCCTAAAAGATAAACATTGGGACTACTAATAAGCCCGGTTGACGAGGCCAGACGTTGCAGCTGGCATGCTTGGTGGGAAAGGTGGGTTTTGGTGGCCGCGGCACTAGGGTACTGTTGGGTTGTTGTTGTGCTACACAATAAGCAGTCTAATTTGCTATTGAATTCATCATTTAAGAAATTCAAACCTAAAACCTCTTACTTTTAAACCGTAGTATTGAGTGATATTGTTGGGTTATTATTGGAACTAGGGCTTTGTATTCTAATAAAGAATACGAGACAAATAAGTCCAGTCGTATGGTAGGAACCAGGATCCTCTCCTGAGCAATTCCCTAGGGATCTTAGGGATCCCGCAATCTTGTCCGTTCATCGTATATCGTGCGGTCAGAAATCATTTAAAATTTAAATTTTAAAATTCAAATATAAATAGTACCTAACGAAAACTGACCGTACGATATAAAATGAATGGACAAGATTGAAGGATCCCTAGGATGCCTAGGGAATTGCTCAGGAGAGGATCCTAGTTCGTATGGTAGGATATCCGGTCCTAAAAGTAAAGCATGCCTATATAGATAGGAGTAGGAGTAGGAAGGAAAGCATGCGTGTATAGATAGGAGTAGGAGTAGGAGTAGGATCCCCATTGGATTTGGGATGTTGGATGATGATAAATGATATGCTGATGAGATAGGCCATGTGTGCCCCAAAGCCATCAGGCTATCTTCAATCGATGACTGGTCCATTAACTTGTTTTAACCATTTGACCTTTAAAGATCCTTCAAGATATTAATATTTTAATGAACAGTACATGGCCATATTTGTTTCCGTCTCCAACCAAGAGCCAAAGGGCTAGAAGGCTCGTTTTAGCCCTGTCACAAAAAATCATCTTCAACCGAGGGCCATAGGGCCAAACATAATTTATTATTTAAATTTAAAAATTATGACAACTTAAATTTAAAAACAACAAGTTAAATTTAAAAACTACAACTTATATTTAAAAACTATAACTACAATTTAAAAATGACAAATTAAATTTAAAAACTACAAATTAAATTTGAAAACAACATTAACTTAAATTTAAAAACTACAATAACTTAAATTTAATATCTATAATCAACATCATCTTCACCATCCGCCATTGTAGGAGTATAGTCAGAGGTAAACAACTGCCGTCGGCTCATAATTTCTTTTTTTTTTCCCTATCAAAATAGGCCTTACTCATTGGAGTGTAATTCGAAGTGTTCCTTTCCATATTCTTATCATCCATCTCTTCTTGTATTTGTTTGACCCGTTCTTCATGCCTACATTTCCTTTCTTCCGCCTCAAGGGCATTTTGCTCCGCCAATAATCGCAATGAGGCCGCCACTTCATGTTGAGCGGCGTAATCATCATTTGCCTTGCCCTTTTCCTTCAACCTTCGCGCCTTATTTCGTCCCATAGCCCTAGGTATGGAACCTTCACCAGAAGACAGATTTTTTACCCTTGTTTGTTGAATGGTTGGAGATCCATCTTCATTCATATTTGCAGTTGAGGATGTAGTTCCAAACACCGGCGTAGGAGCTCTCTGTGGTGGATCTTCAAATAACACCCACCCTTTACAAATTTCCCAACAATTGTGAAATTGAAAGGGTTTCGAGTTGCTCTCCATATACAATTCATCTACTTGGCGTACCTAGAAAAAAATTAAAGAAAATTAATTTATGAAATTAAATGTAATATAATTAAATATTTAAAATAAATTGTGAAAACACTTACTTTGTCGTAGTAATTAGCGCCGTTTTCATGTCTACTTGCCGCTACTAACAATGCTTGATGCAATTTGTTCAAATTTGGATGAAGATGTTTCTTCCATCTTGAAGAACAACTCTCGTGGTTTCGAATATTCACAGGAGTGGTGCCTTCATAGAACTCTAAGTATTTTTTGGACACACGAGTCAAAACACTGTCATTTGTTTGACAATTCCCCCTTACACTATCTTCTGACACCCATCTATAAACCTTGCAAAGAACTTCATATTCTTTTTGTGTCCAAGCCCTACCTTTCATTGCAGACGAGGTCATTTGAAAATTATTGAAAAAATTAAAGGATAGATTTTTGAAAGAGGAAGGAAAATATGAGAATTGAAATGGTGTGGGAATGGTGAAAATTTTATGAGGAAAGGTGCATGAATGGTTTAGGTATTTATAGGAAAAAAAATAGAATTTTTGAGAATTTAAAAAAAAAAAAAAAAGGCCCCAAAAACATAAAAATAAAAAATAAAAAAATTGAATCCAACAGTAACTAGTGCCAGCGAGCAATGGCTAGCTGACGTCAACTAGCCGTTGGATTCAAAATTCTTTTTAAGAATTCCTGTCGGTTATAACCGACAGGAATAAGCGGTTTTCTGGCCAGCCCTCCAACCTTCCAGCCCTTTCCGATTTCGTGGGGCCCTTTTAGATTCCACAGCCCTCTGGCCTAGCCCTCGGTTTGAGACAGTTTTCGGGCTATTTTCGGCCCTTTGGACCTTCGGTTGGAGATGGCCTCAACTCACTATCATATGCCTTATAATGTGAGAGTAGCCTACATGAAACTCACCGCAACGTGACGTTTTGATTTAATAATATATTGTTATGTGGAAAAAAACTTATACATAGCAATACATTATTGGACAAGGAACGCCATGTTGGTAACCCATTCTATGTAAATCATTCACCTCAATTCCATATAAGTCATTCTCTTTTAATATGAGAAATTCTTTTGTGAGGGTCATGGGTGTGGTGTAACCGTGTTAGATGGGAGGACACAAAATAAAGCCCGTTGAACCTGACAAAATCAAGGGGTACGGGTGTAAACCGGTTACAGGGAAGTACTTCTCTTTCCGTAGGGTGACAAAGGGTTGAAAGGTCAGACGGTTGGAGGGAAACCCATCTGACCCTCCATTTGACATCCGACGGTCAAAATCGTTTTCGACATGTACAAGTGTAACAAGGAGAACAGAGATTAGTGATTGGAGGAGTGCAACAAAAACAAAGGGAAAATAGGGTGAAAAAGCGAATGAGAAACAGAGGCTCTGATAGAGGAAGAGGAGGAAGAGAGAGAGACTCACAGCAGTTTTGAGTAAAGATAACAAAGAAAAGCGGCGAGGTTTGATCACTAAGCGTTTCAAAGACAAAAACGAACACACAACCCACAACCCACATATCAATCACATCATCACTCCTACCTGTTAATTTTATTTATTTATTTTTCCAATTATTCTGGAGAAAAAGTGAGGCCAAAGTTGTTCACTTTTTTTCCAGTTTCTGCTGCTGCTCGGCTGCCATCACACTATGTAATTAAGTCTTCTTCTTCAAATATCTCTTCTTCTGATTGTATAATCTTCATGGCTGTTCGGTCTGTTCGGTTTCCAATTGGGTTCCTTTGTTTTTTTTGCCTTTTATTTCTTCTGACACTTTCTCAGCAACCAAACAGAGCAAAGGATGACTATAATGTTGTTTTTATTCGATTTATTTGTTTATGGGGTCGTCGTAACTCCACTGAAATGCAGGGCTGTCTGAGGAAAAGTGCATTTTTTACGGTTATCTCCATAGATCTTGAGGTTAGTTTTCAGTTCTCTACATGCTGGGAAAATTATCTTCCACTTTCTCGTGGTTTCTATTGTTTTCTGCGTGGAATTCCAGATGGGTAATCTCTAAATTTATGGTTGCAGAGATGGAAAAGGAAGGGAAAACCTCTAAAGCCACAGAGTCGGACTTTTTGCTGCAATGGGGGAACAGAAAGAGGCCTAGATATTCAAAGTTGAATAAGGACGCAAGCTTGAGCAACAACAACAAATCGTCGGACTGTTTGAGGAAGAAGAAAATCACTTCTCGGGCCACCGATAAAGAGTCTCCGGCTCCTCATCCACTGCCCAATCGCATGGACAAGTAAGAAACATTGATGGTTTAATTTGAACACGGTGCAAAAATGTCGACTTTTAAAATTGAAGTATGCTAGATATTTTGTTATTAAAGTGGTTTGAAGCACCTGTTGTTGAACTAAGAGCTTACTTGTTTATCTTCCGTTTTGGATTCTCTGAAAATTTTGAAAGATCCCTTCTCAAAAATAAAGAAATGGGAAAATGGAAGTGAGTTTTTACTCATCCATTTTCTCCTCATGCACACTCTTTCTGACATTTAGATTGAATAAACGAGAATCAAGGGACATGAACAACAGCAGAAAATGGTTGTGCGAAACTTCAATGAGAAAATTCTGGTTAATACCTTGATTGGTTAGTGGTAAATAAATTGAACAATCCTAGAATCATATGACACTTGTAAAGTTAGTGTTTTGATGAAATTGTTAGGTCTGAGATTCGTTACTTTTAAGTTTGCAAAATTCTCAATCAAAAAGTCTACGTGGGAAGTGGAATAGAGGTAACATTTTACCAAGTGGTTGTGTTTTGATTGCAGGAGTTCAGCTTCGCCAATGAATAGTAGGAAGCTATTTGTTACTTCACCGGAGAAGGAAGATCGGTACTACACAACAAGGGGTTCATTAGGGTTGGACGAGAATGGGAAGGTGTTAGGATTAGATTATCCTGGTCCTGCAAGGGATGACAAAGGAAGCCATGCTTGGCCAAGGTTATTTCTATCATTGTCTAGTAAAGAAAAGGAAGAGGATTTCATGGCTATGAAAGGGTGTAAGCTACCTCAAAGGCCCAAGAAAAGAGCAAAATTGCTCCAGAAAAGCCTACTTGTAAGTTGCTCATGAGTGCTCATGAGAGAGAGAGGGAGAGAGAGTGTTTGTTTTTGTTTTTGTTTTTTTTTGTTTGTGAGGTGTTTGTTTTATTCTCACTTCCTTGTGCAGTTGATTATGCCCGGTGTATGGTTATCGGATTTGTGCCAGGAGCGGTATGAAGTGAGGGAGAAGAAGACTTCAAAGAAGGTATTCTCGTCTCTCTTGCGTTAATTCTCAGTTACGTCGTAACTACATTGTTCCATCCTAAATGCTTGGCTTGCTGGGATGAGAAGAAAACAAATTTGGATTTGGAATCTCAGATTGCTTTTAAATGTTCGAGACCTCAAAATCCTGTAACAAATCGAAATGTCATGTGATATTTTCTCTCCAGTATATTTTCCTAAGAACAGTTCTGTTAGGTCTAACTAATCAAATCTGTAACTGTTTGGGATTCCATTACGATGCAGAGACCCAGAGGATTGAAGGCCATGGGAGGTATCGATGGCGAATCAGAATGAGGGAAACATGTGAACAAAAGGCAAGAAGATGCAACGATTTTTGAGTAGTTAGGACTCGCGTATGGTAAAAGAAAAATTGAAAGAAACAGCGTGATCTCTCTTCCTTTGGTTTGTCTATGTATTGCTAACAACTTGATTCGAGCATATTGCTAACAACTTCATTCGAGCAACAGTCTAATTAACTTAAAACTCTTGGAACTCTTGGAAAGGGGATTCGTTCAAACTTGATTGCAGAAAGAAGCACATTTCTTTACCCAACTTCGCAAAAGCCCAATTCTTACGATGGTAACTTCAATCTTTACCTTCTTTTGGTCATTATATGAACATAAAAGATGCATGCTAAAGTAGAAAGAAACACGATAATGCATGTTACACTGAATTAATCAAACGGGGAGAATCACATTGAAATAACTAAATATTTTGTACACTTGGGCTCTACTGGTTGACACTTGACACCTCAAAACTGCAGCTAAAACATTGAATTCTAGCTACATTTGCCAACTTGTATCTCCCTCCAACTAAACATATCCTATTGCTTTCCTATTTTTCCCTCTCATTTACAACATCATTACCTATGTTCATTCGATGCAAAACAATTAGTTGTATGTACAGATACAATTACAAAACCCCTGAAAATCCCTCCTCCACGCTGGCGGAAGCAAATGATACGCATAGGCGGCCAGCGAGGAGTGCGATTAGTTTTCATTCACAAGCACCATTTCGCATCACATGCATGTGTCTGAAATACGCCTGCCTCTTACTCAATCTTGCGACTGAAAGGACCCATCTGATTCTCGGTGCATTGAACTTGGAGAGCTGAGTGCCACTAATCAAATGAATTCCACACCTGGCCATCTTTGAATTTTCAGCAATCAGAGAATCAGTCGCATCATAAGTTGCCTGCCCTGCTCAGAAGTACGTCCAAATTAATAAGTCCTTGAAGAAGCTCCAAAAGAAGCAAGAGAGCCATACGGAAGAGGACTGACTACTGCAGTGAATTAGACACAAACAGAAAATTACCTTGACGTCATGTCTTCTAATTTGTGGTCACTGCAACTTTCCAGCAGGTAGACGCGGTCCATGTCCAGCCCAAGCAATTCAACATTTTTTCAAACGCATTCTCAGACCAGAGGAAAAGACAACCGCAGAGGCAGCACAGCATACTACAAGGCTTCCAAGGTAATTGATGCTTTTGTGAAAACAGAAAGAACAAATGGAGCTTCTTCCCCTGGATGTATAGTTGTAGGCACTATTGTGTAACCTTTTGGATCTGGATCCAAAACAATTTCACAAGATATTTCTCGGGAATTGACATAATCTGTCCCATCAACTGATTCATGTAGATATATATTGTAAGCAGCGCGACGGCCTCGAGTTTTGAGTATCCTCATCCCAATGTAGAACATCATTGAATCATGACTGGATTGATAATTTCTGAAACCAGCAACTGTTCTTGAGAAGCTCACACCCTAAGCATTAAACAAGTGATAAAAGTTTATAAATCCAGCTATAAAAAAAATAGCTATTGTTCATATAAATACACAAGCAGGTCCAATTCTAAAGATACCTGTGTCAACGTAATGAATACATGAATTGGAAGGGAAGCATCTGGCCCAGTGGCCCTCAATCGGAACTGTGGATTTTGATGCCATGTCTCATAATCTTGGCAGCCCCCGGCACTATAACCTCGCCATTGACCATGAACAGAATAGCGCATCTCAGGGGGGTAGATACAACAAACATATATTGATCGAAAATGAATTTGGAAGTCTTGCCAGGACATCCAGAATATGCCGTCTTTTGACTGTTAAGTGTTAGGAGAGACGAAAGAAAAATGTTATGAAACATGTTTTGAGATCACAACCGCTCGACGAAAAGTAATAATGACAAGGTAGATTCACATATGTGATGTGGGAAAATGAAACAGTAAACAACCTGCGGAACATGCTTCAACTTATGCTTCATCCTATCAGTCCAAAGAGGTGATGAGTCCGACCAAGGGCCATTCCACTCAACTTCATTAGCCCATGGATTCCGAATCTGAATAAGCTTGTGGCCATCCACCTCTCTCACCTGAATTAAAATATAATTGATCAATGAGGCCACCGTACGCAAGTTTCATATGCTGAAATACAATAAGACATGACTAAGACACAGCAGTATTCCAACTCACCTGCAATAACGAGTAGGCATGACCTTGCACAATGCCACTGGAGGAAACATGTACATCTGAACCTGATGGACTGCCAGCACCAAGAAGAAAGCCTTCTTGTTTGAAACGCAGCAATTGAGACCACAGTCGACCACTCGCAAGATCAATTTGGGCCTGAGCACTCCTCATGTCAATCTCCTCACCAGCACCTCCAGTAAGGTCGACAAGAGCATCTTGGACAAGCCCACCTTCTAATGCTTCATAGGAGCCATGCAATTTAGCATACGCCTTCTCCACTAAAGAAACCCATAGCTCGTTACCTTTCCTACTAGTAGCAAACGCTGGTTTCCCCGGTGACTCACATGGAATCCAATCATCAACAACAACAGGAACCCACTCACCCTAAAGAAAGGTCAGGAACAAGCTTTAGCATGCTACTATTAAAGAGTGGGAATTCAATTTCGTTCTATTAGAATAGTCTCCAAGAATTCTCTAGCATTTTAATGATCATCTAGCTGCATAAAGTTGCAAATTTCCCATTACAGAAAATAAAATTCCTATAAAACAAGGCCAAGCTACCATTGTCTTCAGAAATTACGTGTAAGAAATAAAATCTCATCCGCAGACAGTGAGTGCTTTATGTTTAAACTGGATGGGGAGATGGGGAGACGGAGGTCTTTTGTAGCAAGAAATTCAATTTCTTTAGCGTCTGCTTCATTGAAACACTGGATATCCTCCTGATGTTTATCCTCTCTTCCTTATCTTACCTTCTCTTTTTAATTCATATAACACATGGGAATGGGTGCAAGTCTATACTAGAAGTTCATATTTAGAACTAAATGGTTCAGAAATGTTATGTTAAAATTACAAGTCACCTGAATACAGAAGCGAACAGTGTAGACTCCTTCCTCATTATACTCTGGGGTAATGATCACTTCCGATATTCGTGAAACCTCCGTCAGAACAGCAACAGCACTCAAAAACCAGCAATCACCAAGTCGGCCCTATTTAGAAATGGAAAATCACTTATGGATAATGCTGAGGAAAATAATCATAAATACAATTACCATGTTGGCCAAGAGCCAAACCTGACAAACATCAGAAGGATTGACAGTTCCAGAAAATAAGCACGGACGAGCATCTAGCCGACTCTCTTTTACAATATCAGCAGGCCTCACCCATTCAGAAACAACCTAAATTCAAAAGGCCACAAAACTGATCAAAGACGACTGATTCCATTAACAACAAAAACTAAAAGGTAAATAGAACAATAAAAAGTACCTGCAACTTTGATGGGGGATTTTCCGGATCTACAAATAATGACTGATCATTTGGAGGAAACTCCTGATCGGTAAAATGTATCTCTCCCCTTGCAGAGAGGGCTTCCTTGACTGCCAATTCAACTGAAAGCATTCGCTGGTTGATTTCGTCTTGTGTTTCCATCCTAGGTTTCCGAAACCTCCTGGCTATTGAATCCACATCAACCAGCACTGTATCACGTTCTGACCTTCGTTTCCTCCCACTAGAATATTGCCCGTCCCAATCAACGTCATCCCTATCATACAGATCTACATCTGCAGGATCACTATCCCATTCATCAACCTAGCAAAGGAAAAAGGATGAGAAGCTTAATCAATTGATAGGTTTAACCACCCACCATAATTAGAAACTAAATTACTTTCCTAGAAATTCTAGCATGGATCAATATGAAACAATGTATCTTAACGACAAAGCACATACTCTAGAGGGTGAATCTGCCCACTGCCAATTATCTTCAGGAAAATCTATCATATCGGAATCAGCTGTACCAATAGCTGAATGAAGAGCAGCAACATCATCTTCAGTTAAGCACCTTCCCCATAGGAACACATCCATAATATGCATCTTAGACTCAGCCCCTTCACTGTCTGACCTCCCAAACGCATCCACATCTGTCGGTGGTCTAACACCAACCCAGACTTCGGTTCCTTCTTCCCAAATGGTATTACCCACTTGCAATGGTAAACCAGTCTGGTAGCCATCAAAACCACCATCCAGATAGCAAGTTGCCTCACCTAAATCAGCATCAATTGTCATTGTTACCAAATGCCACCTGAAAAGCAAGTACATCCAGTGAGATTCAACAGCTATCAACAACACACATTCATGGTTGAGTTCCTCTTTTTTTCATATATAAAACTGGGAAATTATTGACGACCCAGACAAGATGAACAAGAGATCCATCAGAAAAACAAAAATCAAAACAGACCCGATACTAAAATATTAGAATAATAATAAAGAAAAAGAAAAGGCCAACTCAAACACAAGAATATGTGAATAATAAAAGAAACTAAATAGCCCTAAATAAATGTATGGTAATAGAGAACCATCAGGACAAATCCATGAATCAAATAAAAGAAACTAAATAGCCCTAAATAAATGTATGGTAATAGAGAACCATCAGGACAAATCCATGAATCAGAAAAAGTGCCAATAATTTTGTTTTAAAGGATAAGGCCCCAACCTTCCATCTGCTATACTAGTTGCACTAATACTCCACTCCTTTGCAACAGTAGTTTGTCTATCACCTTTCGTTATCAATCTAAGCCCAACTTGTCCAGCTTCAATACCTTGCTCGGAACCTGCCACCAATATTTCCCAGCAATCTTTCTTTTGAAACTCAGTGCCAAATAAGCAAACAGGCCCAGATACAGGTTGAATCATCACTGTAACAGAGAAGCTAATCTTTTGACTTTGACAAATGGTGGGATCAATTTGGCCACAGTGTCTGCCACTTGTGGTTGGCTCATCATCAAGAACGCATACAGCCCCAGAAATTCCGGTCTGCCAATGACATAAAGAAGCACAATTTCCATGAACACAGAACCCTCCATAGGTATATGAGGACAAGGCAATCAAACTAAACAGATGCGACGGGGACAAATAATAAGAGAAACATATTGGTATATGATAAAACCAAAGATAACAGCACAAGATAATTGAATACTTATTGGATCTACTGAATCATTGAGAGGAACTGATTACATGGTTTGATCACTTCATAAAAGGAAATGACC